GAAAGTAATATTGGGCATGAATTAATTAAAATTTTCTTTGACTAATTTTCGACTATTAAATTTTCTTGACTAAAATAATCAGTAAATCGATCTTCACACTTAATCAGTCATCATATATGTAATTACGAATAATTTAATCAATTGACGAAATTAATTATTAATCGGCTTACAATCAATCACATATCAAAATTTGATTAATTAATTACTTGCATCACTCGATGAAATTATTTGTGATTTTATATGACGACTGATTAACTGATCTTCATTCCTGATTATTTTAGTCAAGAAATATTTTAATCGGTTAATGCCTAGCATTCTAAAAGAGAATCTGTGTACACTGAGAGAAAAAAATAGTTGGAATAACTATAATCTCACTATATTTTATAGTTCGTTTTGGCCTCAAACATATATTTATAGTTCATCTAAACATGAAGATATAGTAGAATGAACACAGATTTATAGTCACCATCTTATTACTCTATATATATGGTAAAGCACCTTTTGGGAATATAGTTACATGTACCTATATTTGCCAAATATTCCAATTGTATTGACTATATAAAATAGTTAATTTCTCTTATCATTCAACATTTGTCACCTTATCATATTTTTTATTTCAAATAATTATAATTCTTGGTAAAAATTTTACACGGGTCAGTTATACTTATATTGTAAATATTACAAATATTATGGTAACATTTACTATAAAAATTATATTCCTAACTATAATATTTTTACTATGCCATTATAGTTTCAAATATCATACATTTTTCTCTCAGTGTACAATGCGATATAACAAAAATTGCATTTGTTTCTATATTCGATTAGTTTCTAAAAAGAAAAATATTCAACGAATTGTTTGACGCGAGTTGAAGTCTTTTCAATTGAAATCTTTTCAGGCAGATTCTCCTCTCTTCTCTTTTCAAATCGTCAAATAGAATGTATAGATCTCAGTTACTACATAGGAGAAGAATATTCAGAGAGAAATGAGAGCATCACGGCGACGCGCGTTCGCCGGATTGGTGCAAGCTCGCTTAGACGCTAATATACCCTCGATATCTGAATCCGTTCGCGTCAAGATATCGCCCTTTACCGCAATGTCTAATGCTGGCGGCGAGGCATAAGAGAATAATGCGCGGTTGCAGTATCACTTTCCAAATCGATACTTGCTTCCCGTCATTGGCCGTCTCCTCGCCGATCGTCTTTCTTGCCGGCTCGGAGAGCGTCAGACCGGTGAGAATGGCGATGATCAGGCTGATCACGCCGGCTCCGTAATAGCAGACCCTCCAGCCCTGCCGATCAACACGATCTCGTCATTATTAGATCACCCATTAATCGTCGCGCCGCAATGCACCTGAGCACTTGCAACTCGACTGACGCGATTGTCGAACGCTCGATCGTTACACTTTTCCGCGTTGATCTTTGTTCCCGAGCTCTTGGTCGAGTCGATCGCGCTTCCGCGTAAATAATTTCGTCGATGCGCGATTCGCTCGATCGGAATTGCCGGGATTGTGTTCTCTTTTTTTCCGGAAATTGAGGGAGGAGTTGCAAATAAAGAAAATTGTGGTCCAACGCGAAAAAGAGCAAAAAGCGGAGAGAAAGAAAGGATACAAAGGGGACAATAGAGATCGCAGGTGAAACTACTCACCAGGTCCCAGGCGTTTATTTGTGGCACATAACGGCCGACCGGAAACGCGATGCCGTAACCGCCGTAAATGCCCCAATTGAAAATGGACATGACGAGGCCCCGCTGCTCTTCCGGAAACCAGTCGGACAGCAGACCGGTCGCCATTGGATTGCAGCCCGCCTCCCTGTGTCCGCGAGTTCAATTATTAATATGCGCTTAATTGACGTTACACGGGCGGAAGCGGAAGCGCCGTTTTATCGGTACTTACCCCGCTGCCAGGACCATCCGCAGAAGGACGAGCTGCCAGTATTCCTTCACCGCGCCCATCAGAACGATCGCGACGCTGAATACCAGAGTGCAGATCGCCAGCAGCCTCACTCTTGCGAAAGCATGACAGACGCGTCAGTCAAAATCGAGACTCGCCAGTCCTTGTCGCGGAATTCTTGATCGTCAGGTCAAGGTCTTGATTGTCAGAAGAGCGAGGAAACACACATGTGCGAAATTCTTACGTGCCATTTTCAAGTAAAAAGGTACGGCCGTCTGTACGGCTTGGATTTCAAATCGCTTGTCAGCATACTTGTGAAATGTTCCGAGAACACTATTCTTTCCTCTTGACAGTCAACAAATAGTCGTGGAAATTAACGTGAAAAGATAAAGAAATATAGGTCGAAGAGAAAGATTGCATGTCACTTGTTAATTTTACAGTTACTTATATTGACTGTCAAGAAAAAAAATAGTATTATCGGAACATTTTACAGATATGCTCAAGCAATGCTCAATGTATTTTCTCGCTTGTGACGTTATCAGTCAGGAGTTCCGCGGCGAGGCACCAAGAGCTTGAAACGACATCGCTCGTTCGGGAAGGAGGGCTCAGAACATGGACGGAGCGAAAAGTGCGATTATAGACGAGGGGCTGTGAAGCCCAAAGGGCAAGGGGATTACATTGTCGCGACCATGTTGGTGCCGGAGTTTGTATCTATTTTCAGTGTATAACAACAGCGACCATCGTCATCTTGGTACCGCAACTCTATTACATACAATCATTCCCCTCACCCCTTGGGCTTCACCCCCGCGACAATTCGCTCCGTTCGTATATTCTTACGTTCATAACTCAGAATCACTTAGTGACTCTCTTTCTTCATCGAACCGTGACGAAACTCAATGCGTGACAGTCGGTCAATTACCTGTTGTACCTATCGGCCGCGATGCCCAGCAGAATGCCTACGACCGTGAAAACCGCGATGAAACTGGGTCCCGCCAAGACCTGATAGTCCAAGCCTAGACCGTTGTAGTTCCATTCGCAATAATAAGACCCGTTCAGCTCCAGAGACTGGCAGCTGCGTCAATAAGGAGCGTGTTACGTGCAACAATCAATAGAGATAGAGATGAAAGGAACGCGACGAACATTATAATCGCGCGCGTAGAAAGCTCGCGAACCGTCCAAGCGATCGATATTCTTCGGACAACGATGAACACGATCCCGCAGTGTCCCGTTACGTGGCGCATCCGCGGAATTTCTCGCGGTATTCGACTCGGCGATTTACCAGTAATCTTTCTCAGAACGTTCCTGCAATGACAGCTCCATCAATCTTTTTCTTAAAGTCGCGTGTCCTCCTCCTGCGATTATCTTGAGTCATTACGGAATAGCGTGAGTTAGCGGTATCAACCTCGCCTCGATGAATCAATCACCCGCAAGGAAATCGAGTTGTCGGAGGAGATGGAGGAGGAAACGCTGATCGTTAATTGTGCTTACAGTTACGCGCGGCTCTTCTCTCCCGCACTGTATGACGCTCGACGCGGCGTCGACGACGGTTTCTAGAGCAGGTGGTCATTAGTAGACTTATCAGTCGGACTTACTAGGTTGCGTTCTCCGCGGCTTCGCACTGCACCGGAAGGTCGACCAACGACAGCGTTGTCGAGTTGAGCTGGCAGGAAATGTCGCCATAGTGCAGGTCCTCGGCGATCGCTTTGCTCGTTACACCTTGCGCGCGACATACCGTACGAGTGAATTAGTATCGTTACTGAAAATCCGCGGGACGGAAGGGAACAAGATTATCGTCCACTGAGAACAAGTTGTTAGCTGTTTAACTATAATTATGTAAATATTATATAATCAGAAAGAAATAGTTACTATAAATTATGATGAAGAAATCATTTTCTCTTATTAAATTCTACTATAGTGTTAGTGATAATAACATTAGATACATGTTACCATTTTATTATAAAGAAATATGATCGGGACCAAAAGTAACTACAATTTTAGCTAGATTAAGGCTCCTGGCCCCTCGCATTGTCTATCTCTTTTTAATGATGTCCGAAGCGAGAAAATTCTTGCGAAATATGTTAAAATAAAAATATATATCCATAAAGTAACACTTGCAATCGATTAAACAAATTTGTAAGATATTCCGTGCACTCCCCTTTTGCTCTATCAATAATTTGTCGTAAATGAATGTGACCTACAATTCATTTTCTTAACCTATTTCTTCGTCTATTTCTATTCAGATTAATTCACAATAAATTATTGATTGTTAGAGCAAAAGGGGAGTACTCGGAATATTACAAATTTGTTTAATCGATTGCAAGTGTTACTTTATAGATATATATTTTTACTTCAATGTATTTCGCAAGAATTTTTAGCATGCATTTTCTCGCTTCTGACATCATTAAAAAGAGATAGACAATGCGAGGAGCCTTAATAATTCTATTCTCTCAGAATCGGTTGTTCTAGCTACTCAATAAATTAACTGATAGTTAAATCATATGTCTGTCTTTGTCTAAGCTGAAGGAAAAACAAAGCCAGACATTTAATTATCAAGTTATTCAGTTAACTTATCAAGAGGTTAGAACACCTGGCCCTCAGCGTGGCGAAACGCAATCACTAAAAAGAAATGTTTAATACTTGTAACTATACAATCGTACTAAAAAAAATATTTGTGATGCAGAAAACCATTTTTTTATTGAATTTTACTGTAATGTCAGTAACTATATATGCGCATTAATTATATCATTTTCGTGTTGGAACAATCAAAACATATGATTGGGACCAAAAATAATTATAGTTCCAGATAGATCAAATATTTTTTCCTTCCGATATGATCGCTCGGATTCAAATTGCATAAAGTCGAATAGGCGCTTCCGAGACTCACCTATCAGATAATGGCCCAATTCTCCAAGAACGTAGCCGACCGACACCACGGCCAACGCGTAGGGCTTGTAGAGGAACGCGAGTTTTTGCACCATCGACCTGAACATCCTCGCTCCACCTGGAAGAGACACTGTTTGAGCGAATCGCGAGATTGCGCGGGCGAGAATTATATAATTAACGTGTGCACGATGGGAATTACGGTCTGTAATCGCGATTGCGGGAGGCGGATGGCCTCTTTTTATTTGCGAGTTTACAACGTTGTTCGGGATAGATCGCCGATAGCGTGACATGAAAAGTCGCGATGCGACTTTAATTATAGGTCTTAATTGGAGATATTTACCGGCTTGCACCCGGAAGGAAACCTCGTAATCAAAGATCAGCAAATGCAAGCGCGAGCGCGAGAGATACCGAGTTTATTAGATCAGATTAATTATGTGCGGTATAGATGCTCACGATAAACAATGGCGATCGCAATCGGATCTCAGCGGAAATGCAAAACCGCCAATCTCTTGATTAATTATTTTTCACGCGCGATCATCTCGATATATTATTACTATCATTGATCAGCTGAAATTACCCGGCGTTGTCCGGATTATCGCGAGGTGTCGGGGAAATGAAACCAGGGCGATGAGGTGGCGTGTCCAGGTTTCATGATACAGCTAGAGATGTATGAACTATTCGAATCGAATCAAGTGAAATTTGATTCGATTCAAATTCGAACCCCTATGATTCGAATTCGAATAATTCGAAAATTTTGAATCGAAAAGATGCGAATATGGATCGCGCACTTTAGTATTAAGAGAATTATTAAAGACATCCAGCCTTTTACGGGAATTAGCATGACTTGTAAAGCTATATATTAAGATTTTCTTCGAAAATATTAAGAGAAGATAATGACTTCTAGATAAACTCTTATCGACAACTGTCGGACGGATATGTATCGTTGCGCAGCTTTCAAGGTTGGAAATGTATTCCATACACGTTTATCGACTACATATTATGTATCTCTTACCTTAAAATGAATTGATAGCACATGATCAATGTTATCTCTCTCATACTGAAGTCATTATTTTCATATTAAATTCAATGATTATGTTAATTAAAAATTCTTTCAACGATTCGATCCGATTTCATTCGATTCGGTTCGGATGAAATTTCATCGATTCGATTCGATTCGACATAAAAAATCTTTGATTCGCACATCTCTAGGTACAGCCTATATTTTCCACAGGGTCCTACAAAGTAACTATGCAAAATTTTATCCAGATCGGTCAAAGAGTTGAGAAGTGCACAGAGAGAGCAGACACACACGTCCTATTTTAGATGTATAGATTGCTGAAGATACATATAGACGCGAATGAATATTTATTTACTCGTCCTTCATGGATATTTGCTCACGAAAAATATCCGATGCGCGCTCGTTAATTGTTAATCTGAAGAAAATACACGCGATAAACGATACGCGAATCGCGATCGGAAACGTGACGGTAAAATCGCTTGCGAAACGGCCACTTCTTATTATTCACGATCGGTCAGCAGTATTTTAATTTCAATATCCTGGTGCACACGCGCGAGAGTAGCGATATCGGTGTACGGTACCGGTGATCGCTCAAGGTTCCTGCGCCATGTTCGCGTGTAACGCAAGAACTTGCAGTTAGAATAACGGCGCTGCATCGCGAGCCTAAAATTTCGCACCGCTACCGAACGGGGTCTGATCGTAGGCAGATGTTGCGCGCGTTCAGCGTGAGAAATATTGATTATTCGGGCAGAGAGCCGAATCGACATTTCAGTCCTACTTTTGACCTGAACTTGCTAGCATACACGTCTGCAGAATACATATGCACACGTCCGCAGAATACGTCTGCATATTCTGCGGGATCAATGTATGTTTAATACACGTGGAAACTGAGGCACCACTTGAACTGAGGCGCCTCTAAATAGCAGAAAACGCACAGTTTTTATATTTGCTTTATTTATCTTATAGTTTTCTAGATTTCGAGTATTTTTTTACAGTTTTACAGTCCTTATGATTTTTACAGTACTTTGCAGTTAGGACAATGTCAATTTTTAGATCATATACTAGGTTGTCCAGATATAATCAGTAAATCGTCAAATTTACTACTTCTATAGTAGTTTATGTTACAATTTCAGTATAATCCAGCTTTGCAATAAATATATTATAAGAAGACATATAATTTTAACGTTATTTTTATTACAATATTTTCTCCGTGTGCAAGATGGACGATAGAACGTTCTCGCAGATGTCGGCTCGACACGTCGCGCATGTGAATATGTCATCATCGTCATCGTTCTGATTTCAACATGACGTCGCGTTGCATCGCGCACGGGTGTGTCGTCGTCTAATCAGGGAGGATCGAATCGGAGGTGAATCGCGATCGCGACTGCGAACAGAGGAGAAAGCTCGCGCGCGAGATGTTTAAGACCAGTATTCACAGTCGGGTCTTGTATTTAAGATTGTCTTAAGTTTACCTTCAGATGCTCTGCAGCCAATGAAACAATCCATTTAGTATCTGAAGATAAATCCAACATGATCTTAAACGTAGAATCTGGCTATGAATATTGCCCTAAGCTCGCGCGCGACTCTTACGCACACGGCCGGATCACCTTGAGCCGAAATCGTTGAAACGGAACGAAAATTATCATTTCAATATTGTCGATTCTCGCGCGTTTGTCACTGTGGCGTTGAGTCGCCGTTTCACGAAACTTTCGTAAAGGCAACGGAGGGAAATGCTCTTTGGCGATAATCAGACTCGACGTGGACGTTGCGGCTCTTTTTCCTCGCTTTCTTTCTATCCAACTTCGAAATGCATTCGCCGATATTCGACAAGAAACTATATTCTACGTCTTAGTCAATTAAAACACACAATTATATTTATTTTATTCCAAATTTTTCAAACATTCTTCCGTCTTGAATGACTAAAAAAGAAAAATTCTGTGCTCTTGGATACGAATGCGTTGCGAAACCTATGGTAAAACCAAATATCCTCTTTTTCACCACTGACGAATTCTCCCAACATTTTGATTTTATTTCGGTTACATAACGCGAATGACGCGAAGACGAGAGCGTTGCAAGTGAAACGAGCGAAGGCCGTTTCGCTTCACTCGACACAGAAGACAGTAGGGATTTTTGAAGGAGCGACAATGAAAGCGAGAAACCGTTGGCCGATCGTCGCCCGGCGAGTCCACAGCGACAAGAAACGCCGGACACGCTCCGGAGAATTCCTCGCGGTCGCGCTACCCCGTGGAGAAACATAGAGAGTAGCTAGCCGATGATCGAATGCCAAGGCAAGCAAACTTGGCAGTGAGATGTCAAGTAGCGATAATCGCGTGAGGGGTTTGCGTGACAGTGAATTCGTTGTAACGCGCGCGACAGATCGCTCTCGATCGGTCTCTCTTTGGCGAAACGCCGCGCCGCCAGATGATGCATGGAGCTATGCAAATCTGTAATTTGATTCTCCCATAATTACATGCGCGAATGCCGCGAGCGTCGATACACTCGGCGATACTGCGCGGAACGTACAGTTATTACTTGCGCGTTTGACCTTTTCGCGTCAATTTTGTTCACCAAAGATACAATTTCTTTTTCGCTTTCACTTTATGAGTCATCATTATACTTGCAGTCTCGGCAGCATTTCTTCTCAATCGGAAAGTAAAAAGAATGTAGTGTCTAATATGCTTGCCGGGCGCCATTTTGTTTGATACTGTTTGGTGAGTCATGTTGTCAGCTTCGCGCCAAACTATTTAGCGCATCTTACTTTAAGGTTGACACTCCAAAACCACTAAACGGCGGAAAGATGTTTGAATTTAAAGCGGAGTTATAATTGATTAAAAGTAAAAGTACCGAATTGATTTGCGCGCTTAATAATATAGTTTTAATCAAAAAATTAAAAGCTTTATGTTTGGCGCCAAAATGGATTAAATCGGGACACTGATGTCCCACTGAGGTTTCTGAGAAGGCATGTCTGTCCTAACTGTAATAAGTACACGGAAAAATGTCTGGTTATTTACCAGACATGTTTGGTTAGTCAACCAAAAATCTTGTTAACTTAAACAATATTCCGGTTACTTTAATCGGAATTTCTGGATCGTTCATTCGACCAGATATTTGGTTAATTCAACCAAACCTTTTTTTCCGTGTAGAATGACAGCTCATATGTTCTGAATGCCAAAAAAGCTGTTCATTCAATTAAATAAGGTTATTATTAATGGTAGGAAAAACATATTTCCGAGACATGTATGTGCCGTTGGTAACGAAAGAGTTAGAAAATTACAGAACTCCGACAGAATCCGGGAAAATTAAGTAGAATTTAGGAAGCGATTTTTTTTACAAAAAGTCGCAAATTAAGAGTAGTATGAATCTTTTGTTATGTATGTCTATTAACAATATTTTAGTAAGAAAATATTCAATTTTATGGCGAACATTATCGTATGCATTTCAATTCTGTTCTGCAAAAGAGTCATGCTTCAACAGTAAGCATTCTGACTTCAATAGGGAATCATCTAAGATTACCGTCAATACATTTGTTTTTTGTTAATTGGAGCTGCAGTTATCGCGAAGTGAATTTATTATTCGCGACTTCTGCAGGGACGCAAATTATCGGATAAAGTGCGGATCATATGATTTATGTGTAACGCGAAAATCCTTGACTGTGCAATCCGTGCGATGAATGACGGATAAGCACGCGAATAAGCGTATATATGTGCGAGTGTGAATACGCGTATGTGAAAAATTGCATACGTTCTCTATTTACGCCGCGCATCTCCGTCACGTTTGGCTTATTCGCGAATCAATTGGCGCGTCGCTGAGAAATACATTCGATCGTTTTTTCCCGTAGGACAATTTGCGCGAAAAACAGAAAAATATCGCCGTCTCCGCCTTGTTTCTTTCTTTCTTTTTTGCTCATACTGACGCGAACGTTCCGCTTCGATCGTTCGACCACGTCGTGGAATCGGGACGATCGACTCGGTCGAACTGTGTGCTGAGTAATGAGTTCTCAAGAATTCCAGGGTACCGCCGATCGATCAGCGCGTGACACTCTGGTGCACAAAGTGCGTCGGGATTCCTTTTTGCCGGCCGAGTTAATTAGATTCGCTCGCAGTGAGAATTGAGTTCGATCCGACGCGCTTGGCGTGACTAGCTAGCTGGCGAAGTGATTTCCTTACTTTTTTCCCCCTAGACTCAGCTTGCCGAGGTAGTGTCGCAGCGTGTACGTGTATTTGATTCTCAGTGCGCGAGACACCATTGTTTCCCCGCTCGTGTGGCCATTATCGCGTTATTGCGTGTCTGCGATTATCGTCGCGTTACGAGCCTCGGGTGCAGATAACGAACTCACGCGCGTGACGATTGTTCGCGGAACGCACGTGCGATCGCGCGTCTCGTGGACGTTCCTCGCCCGATGGTAAGTATTTACAACGTGACACCGTCCGCGAATCACGAGGGAATTTCGCGCGAGACCTCGTGCAAGCTCAAGACGTTTTGATCCACGTTCTCTTCCCTTCGCTCGCGATCTACGAAGTTGAATTTTTCCACGTTAAAAGCAATATCAAAGTGGCAAGGGGATATATCAGGGGCTTGCAAAAGTTCGTGGAATTTTTAGCCATATTTCCTTCATTAATAAATAATAAAGCACTACCGAGGAAATACACGGAGAAAATTTTTGGTAAAAATTACATCGGAATTATATTTTCTTTTACAGTACTTTTACTTAAAGAAAGCTATGCTGAAATTGAAAAATTTTATTTTCATTTTATTATTATAGAAATATTAAATTCCACGATGTATACAAAATGAAAAAAAATATTTAAGGAATTGGAATTAAGGAATTCTCAGCAAGGAACCAAACGTACAAGTAATTTCATATTTTCAAACAAACATATATCATAATTTCGATCCCAATTATGTATAGTGTAAAATTACGAAAATTTCGCTGTAATTTTCACTACAATATTTTCTTCGTGTATCTGTCAGCGTTATCCTACAGTCTCTACTGTCATTTTTCTGATAATTAAGAAGCTTATCCGTTGTATCAATAAAATTGTGTCGATGAGTCGACAAAAACTTTAGCAAACCCCTAATACAAGAAAGCTATCAAAGCACAGTGTCTGATCGGGAAACCGACTGCTTCAGTTGTTTTTGACGTTTATTACCTTTGAAGCGCGGAGTCGAATGTCGGCAGAATGTAGGAGAACGCGCACGTGCGAACTCGACGTCGGACTTCCACTCGCCTCTTCTCAGCAGCAATCTCGCGGGGATTACACGGTCAAATTGCGGGACGGAGGAGGCACACACGTGGAAGAACGCGCCACGTTGTTGGGGTGAGCGCGATAGCCCCGAGGCGGGATCGCCACTGCGACTTGCCCTATAAAATATAACGCTCTCGCGTCTCTACGTTTTATTACGCAAAGGAGTGCTATAACTTCACGTTACATCAACACCGATTAAGCCGCGGCGGACGTATTTAATGGTCGGGAGAAAAAAATCGTTCCGCGCGCGTAAGCGTGAGCGTAATGACCGACGGAACGAACAGACGCGTCGAAAAACTATTTAACGCTAATAAAATGATCGCGCGAATGCGCATTCGTGGAAGACGCGTCTGGGGCCATTCAATCATCATTCCGCAATTACCGTTTATCGGCGCAGTTTGCCGCAAGTTTGTCCGCAACGCAACAAACTGCGTCTCCATTTTCTAAACTCGCTCAGAAGCTTAGAGTACATTCAGATAAAAATACAAGCCGGAGACAACTGTATAGGCGACAATTACGAAAGTCTGTATGTAGAAAAAATCTATATACACATATATATTGTTTAATAAACTATTTTGCAGTTATTTCAACTAAAGCTGAATGATTATGAGAACTATATCATAATTATGCAGTTTTCGCAGCCATTCAGCTTCAGTTGCAATAATTGCAAAACAGAATATTAAACTATATACTTTAATTCTCAAAGCATCAAAACTCATTGCAAAGCTCATTTTTCTAGTTTTCTACATACAAAACTTGTATAGACTATACTTCCATTTTTTAAATGGTTCCATTTTCTAAATTTAGAAGCTTAGCGTATACTCAGGGAAGAAAACATAGTGATGGCAACTATATAAATAACAACTATAAGGTTTTATATGTAGAATCTATATATATACATATATTAACTAGCTTAAACTACTTGGCGTTATCATAAAGTATCAAAGGGATGAAATCAGGGTGAAGAAGAGAGTGGAATGTTCAGATTTCATGGTAACCTATATTTTTCGCACACTGAGAAAAAAATTGTTAACTAATTAAAATTATAATTATTTTTGACATATAATATGATAGCAATAACGTGTATATAAGAGATTATTATTACTAATACTTACAGTAAAATTTAATTACTTACAGTAAAATTTAATTTAAAAGTTACTTCTTAACCATAACTTACAGTAACTACTTCTTTATGTGATTATAATTATAATTATCAAACATTTTTTTCTCAATATAGATAGCAACTATGCAAAAAAAATTGATGTACACATATATTTTGTTAGCTGCAGTAACTACAAAATAGTTCATTAAATTATATACGTTGATTCTACCTTCAAAACTCGTACAATCGTCATCAATATTATTGCTACCTTGTCTTTTCCTTTGAGTATAAAAAGAATTTTAACATCTTTATCTCGATGAATTTTAGAACATATTCGAGAAAAATATATTTTTCAAAATTACTGAAGATCAACTCCTCCTTGCAGATGCATTTTTGAATTCGTCGTGATAAAAGTGTTGCAATCTTCTGACTGCGAGTATCGCAGTGCCCACATTGTGCGTTTACCGACGCGTTACCGACAATTAGCGTAAGAATAAAAACAAAAGGATCACGTCAAAGCGAATACAAATAACGACGCGCAAGTAAAAACACTTAAGTGATAAACAACGTTAAACGTAGGAGTCGTCGGCAATGTCTAACCGACGTTCGAGCGAAAATATCCTAATTATGTTCGTCAGACGGGATTGACAGGCAATTTGCGGCAATGAAGTCGTCGTCGCGACGCGTCGGGAACTCTCCGATCTCGAGCGCCGTCACGAACGTCGATCGTCACCGCCTGTTACATGATGATTTTTCGTCAGCGTGTATTTTTACGGGATTACGGCTCACGACGCTGCTCTCCCTTTCGATACGCTATTTTTACGTCGACGGGAGGAGAGTTCGCGCGCGCACCCCGCCGATCGATTAAAAACTGTCCGGCGTTTAAGCCGTCGTCTCGCTTCTCCCCGAGAGGAGTTACCCCGCATTTTCCGCGCCCGATCGGACTTAATGATCTTTTTTCAGCGCCGGCCGAGAGAGGAAGGGATTCACCTCTCACTCGTTTTCTCTCTCTCTCTCTCTCTCTCTCTCTCTCTCTCTCCCCCTCTTGTCTCGAAGAGAGAAAAAGGGGAGAGAGAAGAAAAGAAAGAAAGAGAGAGAGGAGAAGAGAGACAAAGAGAGAGAAAAAGAGGCAATTTTTTAAAAATTCCACATGGAGTAGTCACACGAGCGCGAATTCATCAAAATTTCCGCCCCAAGCTATCCGACTTTTTTCTTTAAATGCACGGAATAATGTTCAGTCACGCGATATGATTGTTTTGTGTGATATTTAAAACTTCTTTTTATCGTTATCGTGCGCTGAAAGAAAAACCGAGTACGAGTGTCTCATGAATGCGACGTAAAACGACGAAGAGACTCGTAAGAAAAGTAGGCGTAGCGGCATTATCACGGATGCATATCGGCTAATAGGCAATTTGCGGCATCGTTAGGTTTTCACATCTAATGTACACGCGTGTTACATGAGTTACAGCTCACCGTAGAGAACATGTGCGTGTTGTGCGTTATCGTGCGTTATCGCTCGACTTGTAACTACTCGCGTAACTATTCGCGACAATGATACATTCTTCAGTCGCGATCGTCCGACCGATGATTATGAACAATTCACTTCCAATCACCGCTGCTCTCGCGTGTTAGAGTCTGTAGTACACGGAGAAATGCAATCAATAAGACTCGAGTAATAAGCGAATCGATCAATCATAGCCGATAACTTAAACATGATAATCTTGTGTTCACAGTAATTCTCAGGTTAAACAGGCAATTACTCTCTAAATTTCTTGGAGTGCAATCTCATTTAAAACGAGTGAAAAGCGGCAGTATTTCCACTCGAAGGGATAGTGAAAATATTGACGTTCGAAATCGCAAGAGTGATTGACTGACTGAAGCTCAATGTGGATTCTGACATGAGCGAATGTTTCAATCAATTAGAGCGAATCAATTAGAGTGAATGCGTTCCTGCACTGACAATGGAGTACATCAAATTCACTTTTTAATTTCGAGTGAATATTCTCACTCGACTATTCGATTGAAAAGTATGACTTCGTTTAAAATTTCACTCATAAATAACTCATATATTAAAGCCCATATTAATATTTGCCACTTAAAACTTATTTTACATGGGATAATTAGACTTTCATTCAGAATTAGATTCAAGTTTTTCAGTCGGATTATATTTATAATCCGACTATAATTGCGATTCAACTGAGAAATTCTCATTTAACTCTGAATTTAAATCTGAGTATCTCATTTGAGATGAGTTTCAAATAATAACTATTAACAGGGACTTAAGACATTTAGAGAATACACATTTAATGCCATACTAAGTTTTTACTTGAAATTCGTCTCACGTGAGACACTCAGATCCGAATATAAATCTGAGCGTTTCTCACTCGAGGCAAACTTCAAATAAGTGTTGACACAGATCTTAAAGTTGAATATTTTAGCTGAATCATACAAGACACGGGACACAATATCAACAATTTTAATTCAACTAAAAAAACCCAACTGCAAATTTGAGCCCGAGTATCTCGCTTGAGGCAAGTTTCAAGTAACAAGCATTAACAGTTTCTAGCTAACGCGATCGTAGGAGTTGCCGCCCGCGACGACGTGTTCATCACGTCTCACCTTCGTTTTCTCAAGACTAGAGCACGAGAAGATGTAAAGTCGACGGTGAGCCGTCCGCGACAATGAGATTGCGAGGCAGGTGGCGAGACGATCGCGGCGGCGATGACGGTTTCGTTGGTGACGCGCAACGGGAAACGATGCTGCCGATGCGGGCATGATTGTGAGACTTTAATTAGAGACTTGCGCTAAGTTGAAGGTCGCACGTACGTAATTATTATGGACGTAAATCGCGCGCGTGTCGGCATTCCGTATTGGCCGCGGATCTAACGGGCCTGTCACGTGTGCGTCGCGGATCACGCGCGACTGCGAAAAACCGGCAAGTAGCGCATGATAGCGCACGTAATTCGTCGTGCGCATTAATTAGCCGTTCGGCTCCGGCAGGAATGCGCAAGTCGCTCGAGCGCGCGATCGACCGCGAGGAAGAAAAAAGCAAAAGTGCGCCGCAACTCTTTCGGGCGAAACGTTAATCTCGCGGTCATTATTATAATCAATACAAATTGCACGTTGCAACTGTTACATTACTCACTGCCCGAAAGCCAAAGGGCGATCTTCCTTGCGTTTCCACGTCGGACTTTTCCGGGAAGAAGAGGTGCGCCGTGTCTCCTGCGCGTACCTTCTCCAACGCGAAGGAGAGATCGCTCACGTGGACGTTTCCCTTCGCCGATGAAAAGCCGATCCGGAATCGGTAGCGGAAGATAGCCGAAGGACACCTCCCCGCGGATGACGCACGCGCGCGCTATTTATAATCGCGAATTTTGCACAAGTCGCGCGCGTACGCGCATTCATGCCGCGAAGTACACGGATCTGTCTATACGCTTCAGGCTGCGTTGACACTCTCGCCGAGTCGCGTTTTACACAAATAGCGCGGAACAACGGGCGAGAGGAAAACTGAAAGAGAGAGAGAGAGAGAGAGAGAGAGAGAGAGAGAGAGAGAGAGAGAGAAAGTATATGTGTATGTAAGAGAGAGAGAGATACATGGTCGCGCGAAACGCGATTCTTCGAGCTTTGCGCGTATTGCGTATACGTACGCGACGCGTATTATTGTATTGCGTCCGTCGCGTTCCGCGTATTGTCTTTCCACGTGCACGTTCACTCGATACTTTCACCGCATGCCTTTTTCCCGCGCCAAACTCCTATCTTGTAGAATCCGGCTCGCGAAAGATATATTGCGCAACCGGTCGGGAAATTATCATTCTTTTCGTGAATGTTTTTCCGACTCAGAGTGACCACTCCTTGAAATTCGCCGAGAATTCGATCAACCCGCGAAACTGCTCGATTCAATTCCACTCAATTCCATATTATTGTTGGTATTGTACCGCTCCTATGGGATATTCGTTCGCACAATGTCAATCGTTAAGTTAAAGTTCCATTGAGTTAAAGTCAAGTAAGCTCCAGTAAGTCAAGTTAGGTTGAAGTTAGGTTGAAGTTCCATTAAGGTAAATTCCGCTCGAAACGAGTCTGCCTCGATGCTTTTGTCCAAATTGTCCCCGAATCGACTGAGGAACAGAAAAGGGCGAGCAAGAAGGTTTCAAGAGAGGCTAAGTGAGCTGCGAGGTTTTAGGGCGGCGCTTTTGCAATAAAAAGTAACGACCGAGCCAAAACTCGCGTAACAGAATGGAGAACACAAGGGGAAGTGAAACTCTCTGTGCCCGTCGTAACGAGTACCTAGCTCACCCCTTTCCACAAAAGCTTTCCACGATGGACGATCTCTCCATGGTTTCGCGCGAAAGCCTCTGCGAAAATCGGCGGAACCTTCGGGGGTAGGTTGGTCGCGTCTTATTCGCCGTGAGATACTCACGTGTCGTCTGGCGAAGTTCGCGATCAAGATCCTTCTGCAGGAGAGGGACGCACTTCTGCGACGGGACGACGCGCGTAAATCCGCGGGAAACGTACTACGACGCGGTTAAGAAACGAATCGTTCCAGAACGGAGAGAGAGAAAGAGAGAAAGAAAAAGACAGAGAATGCGAGAGAACGGAACGATTCCGCGGGTCGATCTATCCGCGCGCGTGGAGGGTGGAGGCGCGTCAAATGAGGCGCGAGCCAGTGGCCAAGCTTCATTTATAAGAAAGTGTCCAAGGATCCGGACCTTCCTTCCGTCGACGGCTGAGGAAGGGGATAGGACTCCGCGTTCGCAATGGTATGTTGTGTGTGCGTGCACGCGATATGGTGGGAGACCACATCGCCACGGGATACCCTCGATCTTCGATTTTCAAGGTCGCGGCAACACTTGACCGAGGAGGCTCGCACTTCACCCGTTACGTCAACGTAAGAAGCGATGTAAGGCAGGTATGCAGGCGAGCGTGGAATACCGCGGAAACGGATACTCGCGAGAGTCCTTCGAGAAGCACGAAGGAGTGCAACTCGATGATTTCAACGTAAGGCGCGTGTCACATGCTTTCTCGCACGAATATCTAGACAAGAACGCGGCCCAACATCGCGGCAGAAAGAAAACATACTCATCTGCCAAAATAATTTTTTAATTTTCTATTTTCTAATTCGATTTATTTGATTTTTATTACAAATACTCCCGTAGACAAAAAACAATTGTGAATTAAATTGTCATAGAATAATGACTGATCTTAAATTATACTCAAATAATTAGGAGGATTGATCCAATAGAAGGTATATATCACGTGTTTCTTTACATGAATATCTGAGGGGAAACTGCATTCGAAAAAAGATGTTACTCATCTGTGACAGAAATTTTATCATTTCTTAAATTTTTGTTTTTTTAATTAAATTTAATTTGTTTACCAATATCAATGGGAAAGAGAAAAAAATATCAAGTATACACATATATATATATATATATATATATATATACACATATACATATATGTATATGTACATATATGAAGTAGTTTTGTGAGTTAAATGGATGGCGAGCCGTGACTATAACATTTAGATAATGAGGGGAGCGATATTTGTCTATCTGATTGCAGCACAGTTCTTGCGGAAAATGTAGAATCATTGATCAGGGTTCAAACTGCGCGAGGTGATTTATTAAGTAATGAACGACGACACTATGCGCGATCGCGCTTGATTTTAACGAATTTCCTATGTCCGTGTGCTTATTAGTCGCGTGCGGTTTCCAGCGACGGCTAATTGGCCCCGGCGTGGTTGTGCGGGAAGCGCGCTGGTCTCCGTCGAGCGGCTCCGGTAGAACACAATAAGTCCGAGGTAGTTAACCCCGCGGCTCGAAGAGCGTACGCTCGTGCATGCATGCATACATACGCGGCATGCGATCGCCGTAACATTGACACACTTCGCGGTGGCTCTCGTGTGTCACGGCTCTTAAGTGCGCCTGCTATGCAATAAAGGCGGCTCGTCGTAGTTTCTCTGTCTCCTTGGGCGCGGGAACACGGCGGGACACGCTCGCGCACTCGAGCAATCGCTAATCGAAGTGTGCGATCACTTCGGGACAATCAGATCGATCGCATACCTCGCGATTATTCAACGACATCGACGCCGTGCTTTTTTGCCACGCGAACGTAGAAACGCGATCATTCACTTTAACCCGCCTTGACGCGGACCCTCGTCTCACAGAGAACTCGTATCCGTTTATAACGGTATATATTTATAAAAACATAATCTCATCTTATTATACGTTGAGAAAGGAATATCTGAGAAATAAAAAGTACTTACTCGTGGTGAAGGTACTAACAATATATTTACTTATACGCAAATCTATATGTGCAAATCTATATCTATATGTAAAGTATAATATCTGTCTGTCTGTTTCCTATATATTTCCAAACCCTTTGATCGATCAAATTCTGTCTAGATACTCTCTGTAGGACCTGCGGGAAATGTAGGTTGCATGAAACCTGGACATAATCCTTCCTCCGATTTCATCTCTTTCTCTATTCCGATTTCTTCTCCTTGACACTTTGTGATAACCCGGGTAACACCGAGCAGTTTCAGTCAATATAAAATATTTTTCAAATAAGAAAATATACAATTTTTTAAACTTTAGTTTCCTTAGAAAGCAATTGTTTATTTTATTTATATAAAAGAATTTAAACTTAGTAAATATGTTATTAGTATTTCTACCAAGTAGATATTTTCTATTTTTTAGATTTTTTCTCATTGAATATGGCTCCAAGAGGATTCTTCTAAAACCAAAGGAAAATATTCTAACACCTAAAAAAACGAACTTTAATTGCAAAATGTTATTTCCTGTAATCTCATGTTATAAGCGAAAAGTCTTACTAAAAAATATTTCTCTTCTAATGAAGAGGAGTAACACTTCGAATATTTTCCTTTTGGCGCTTTAGAAGAATCCTCTCGAAATCGTATACCAGGTGTAGAAGTATGAAACCGGAATTCCCCTATAAATGGTGCCAGCGTTCAGTTTAGTGACCGTAAGATTGCTACTGCCGCGCTATTATATTCTCCTAACAGCTGACGAATATTGTCAACAAACATAACCCCAACTTTCATTCTCTAGTATATTTTTGTATAACCTTAAACATGTCACGTTTCGAGCCTACTAACTATGATTTGCGGACAGCATTGATTTTCTGTTATCATTTAAAGAAAACTGCTGCAGAATCACATCGAATGCTTGTCGAAGCTTACGGTGAATATGCTCTTGGTAAATCTCAGTGTTTCGAGTGGTTTAAAAAATTCAAAAGTGGTGATTTTGACGTGAGGAACGAAGAACTATGAACTATGAACTATGAACTATGAACTGCTGAAACCTGGTCAAACCGTCAATACTAATCGCTACCAACAACAAATGATCGATTTAAATCGAACATTGACTAAAAAACGACCAGAATATGCAAAAAGGCAACACAATGTCATTTTGCTCCATGATAATGCCCCATCACATACAGCAAAACGGGTCAAGGAAACGATCGAGTCGTTCAGTTGGGAATTACTACCGCATGCGGCTTATTCTCCAGACTTGGCTCCGTCCGATTATCACCTGTTCGCATCGCTAGGACACGCTCTCGCTAACCAACGCTTCGATTCGTATGAAAATGTGGAAAAATGGCTAGATAACTGGTTCGCTTCAAAAGATGAAAAGTTTTTTTGGCGCGGCATTCATAAACTGCCAGAGAGGTGGGAAAAATGTGTTCAAAACAGTGGAAATTATTTTAAATAAAGTATTATTTATCACTTTCGAACAACAGACGTCTTATTTGTATAAAAGAATTCCGGTTTCATACTTCTACACCTGGTATAAGAGGATTCCGCTAAAGGTGAGATTAGTGATTTTTTGGGATGTTATATGTAGTTTTCAAATGTTCTTATTTTATCGATGCGTGTTGTCAAATTGACCATTTTTTCGGATAATGATAGTTCTATAATGATAGTTCTATGATGTATCCATGTGTTCAGAGATAAACATTGTGCTCTTCGTGCAAGTCATAACTTGGCAAACCGGACCTTTGTCGAATTTCTAGTCTCGAGGTCGCGCATGAAGGCGCGATCCAATCGGATACGATTCCTTTGTCATGTAACAGCAGAAGCTCACAGTGACATTGAACCAAGATCGAAGTTACAAGGTACCGAATTAAGAGGCAGTCGAACGACATCAGGATGTTTGTTCTGTAACTTTTAATGGCAATATATTGTTATTTATAAACATCATTGCACAGCTATTATTACAAAGAATTGCAGAATAGGTCTGTTGTTCACCACTGTCGAGTCACACTTGTCTCGGAAAAAAGAGAAAAGAAGAATGAAAGAAAAACTAATCGACCTATCGATATCTGGTTTTAGAAGAATCCTCTTGGAGCCATATTCAATGAGAAAAAATCTAAAAAAATAGAAAATATCTACTTGGTAGAAATACTAATAACATATTTACTAAATTTAAATTCTTTTATATAAATAAAATAAACAATTGCTTTCTAAGCGAACTAAAGTTAAAAAAAATGTATATTTTCTTATTTGAAGAATTTTTTATATTGACTGAAACTGTTCGGTGTTATCCGGTTTGTCACAAAGTGTCAAGGAGAAGAAATCGAAATAAGGAAAAGGGGATGTCCAGGTTTCATGCAGCCTACATTTCCCGCAGGTCCTACACAGAATATCTAGGCAAAATTTGATCGATAGAAGATAGTACAAAAATTGCGGTCTACCAAAATGATTAAACCTTTGGATATTACGCGCCATTATAATGGCTTTCCGCTAAACGACTTTTTAGCATGAGACATTATGGGAAGATAAACTGAGTAAATCGCGTTTCTTAGCACTACAACGATATTTTCCTCTGCGTAGCTAAGGGGTTAAAAATACGCAGAAGCTCCTCTGTCGCTTCCATCTGTTTCCACGTGACGAACGGAGTGCGCGACTTCCGCCGTGTCTTAGCGCATTTAATTAATTCTCTATGTACCGATCGATATCATTATCGCGAATCACTTCAGCTCAATACACGCGCGATTCTCCGTAGCTATCGGACGCGCCGGTCAGCCACGCGTGACAGGTGTAACAATCGTCGTTACCGTCGACGACCAACTCGCGGGAACCGGCGCGTGCATCCGCGGAAGGTCGCGCCGTCGGATTCCCGCGGCGCGGCAACGACGTCGGCGCGGAGCCTTCGTCCCCGCGAAAGCGCGTGGCTCATTAGTGGCTCGGAAGTACTGATTATGGATCTAATATTGTCGTCCGCGCGACCCCGACCCGATTTTTAACGAGCGATAGGAGAGACTCGGACTCGCCAATTAATTCGAGCTCACCGCTTCGTCTCGCAAATGGAACGCGCACGCGCTCCTTTAACGTGCTCTATAACGTGTGTCCA